CATTTGACAGAAATCGATCGCCGTGCACAGCAGCCAGCAACTGACCTTGTTATAGCCGATACTGATAATTCTGTCAAGGATGCATATCGTGATTGTAAACACTTCCCTGATCTGGATTTCACCTTAAATGACGAAATAAATAGCAAGACCTGCGGTGAAGTCAAAATTTTTACATCGAAAGCACCTGAAGCTTGGCTTCAATCTAAACCAATTGACAAGTCCATATTTGCTGCCATGCCGACCTATGTTGACTATGAGGCCATCATTTATTTGCACGATGCTAACGATGAAGATCTACTGAACGAAATGCGAGCAAAAATCATGAAAATCTACGGCGAATATCAGTTGCCAAAGGATTTCGTTGCTATGTACACACCCGGACAGGGATGTTTGGTGCGGTATCATGTGGATACACGCTTATATCGTGGCATTATACAAGAAGTAAAGACGGATGGTTACGTTGTACAATTTATTGACTACGGCAATGTGGAGTCAGTTAAATACCAAGACTTACGTCCGTTTGCGCCATTCCCTAAGTTGCCCCGCTTAGCCCATAAATATCGTATTGAAGGTATTTGTGCCAAGTCTAACGATGGAGCTTACACCACGGATGTTCTTGATTTTATACATGTCACCATTGTTGAAAAACTTGTTTCGATACGCGTGGAACCCGGAGAACTACTAAAACCAATCAAGTCATGTAATATGCGTCTGGGCAACATGGATGTTGCAGAATATCTTGTTAATTCTGGACATGTACAACGAGTAACATCAGCCACCCGTTCAGCATATAAAAATAAAGAGTCCAATATGGGTAAACAACAGGAAAGCCAATTACAGCAGCTGGCTAATATTGGCATGGCTACTAACAACGACGAAGATGATGCCGTTGACAAAGTTATGCACAACGTAAAGGCTGACAAAATGGTAAGTTAAAGTAATCTCGAAGCGCAAGAGAATTCGACGCACAGCATAAGAATTTCTCATTCTCATTTCTCATAAAAACTTATAAGCAAACTTAAGTAATATGTGTCATCAAGTCTGTTCACATTTTTTTCCAGTAGAAATTTGGTATTGAACTTGGACGAAATCGGATTTAAACCTTGTCATATAACGATGTTTTTGAAAAAAGTAATAACTATGTGTACGTAACTACAGAAATAGTTACGGCAGCCAAATTTCTCAAATTGATACATAGTATGTATGTATATTATAATTACGGTAACCAGGTAACCGGATGGTATTATACGGGGCAGTCCTCTTTTTGTGACCATTGTCCTGGTAATTTATTTATTATATACGGAACGCCAAATTTTATATATTTCTTTTAATGTCCTGTATTTGTCCCGTATTTGGTGTTTCGACGCCTTAACAGCTCATTAAAATGGCATGCCTATGTACGAGTTTTAAGTGCTGTTGGTATATGATCGTAATTTCCTCCATAAACAGTTATTTTTTTTTTTATCTGAATGCCTGCGATTCTGCAATGTTTTACCAAAATTTCAAACTTTTTAATTAAAACTTTAAATTAACTCATTAAAATTGAGTATAATAAAATTCTAGTGAAAAGTGCTGCTCATTTGCTTCTCTTTCAAAGAAATGGTCGAACATACTTACTTTGTATGAAAAAAAGCGTAACACCGTCAACAAAAAATTTGCCAAAAATTAATGGTAAGCCTAAAAGTGAAAGTACATAACGTCAATTTGGTCACCGTCGGTTATGGTCTGGGCAATGGGTCGATGGCAAAATGACAGGTGATATGTATAAGAGTATCCTTGAAAATAATCTCTTTGATGAATATGCCGATAATTTGATCCTATTATAGAAATTTCAAGATGACAACGACCCGAAACATAAATTTCCGGCCGTTTAGTCATGGTTGAATAGGAAGCAAATTAGAGTTCTCGAATAGCCAGCCCAAAATCCCGATTTAAACCAGAGTAATCGATGTGCAAAGTCAGAAGCGTTAATCACTGAGCTATGTACATCCCGTAAACTCTTGCGTTGTGGTTGTTGTTGTCAATTCTATACATACACCCTTGCTGAAGTCTAGAAAAAAGAAGTCTGATCAGGAGATGTGGTGATCTCCGAAATAGCTGCTATAACTTCTACCGCTTAGACTTTGTTGCTTTTTCAACTTTTCCTAATAAACAATCGTAGTACATGGCTCAACAAAAATATTAGAAATAAAATGTTAATAAGCCACAATAACATTAACAAATATATTTTATGTTTTGTTCTCTTATGTTTCGTTATTTTGTGCTATGCTATGTTATGTTCTCGTTATATTATGTAATTTGATCTTTTATTATACTATTTGGGTATTCACAACGTCTAAAAAATATATTACGGAGGTTCGCAAAGTACCATCAAAGTCATACATTTTGTCAGTGTTAAAAAATAGTTGGTTGTGGTTTCAGGTTCTCTAAACATTTATTTCAGCTTTTATGTTATGTTTTGTTATGTCATGTTTTATTATGTCATGTTATATTAAGTTATGCTTTGTGGTTCACTGTGCGTTTCACTCCAACTCCCCTCATCTCACATTAACCAACTTCACATCAACTCCTCAGTTCACCTCAACTCACCTCACCCTAAAAGCCCATCTACATACAATTTTGGCGTTGCGTTGGCGTTGGCGTCACTTTGACAGTGTCGCGAGTAACACCAGTGCTTGCTACAGTGAACGCTTGGCAGCGAATACTTTAGCCACGAAATTAACATACTAGCGACAGATAAATTAATATTCCTATCAATAATTGAATTAAAAACGATATTTCTTGTCTACATTTGATAAAAACAAAAAAAACTGTTTCACATAATTTTAATTATTTGCAACAGCTGAGGTACGACGCACGCGAAAAGATGGGAGTTGGGCATCTTTCTGCCATGTGTTGGCGTTAGCGTTGCCAAATTTAGGCTATGTAGACGGCTGCATTTGAATTTATTTATTCATAGTCAGCTGACGGGCCTTAACTCTCCTCTATGTATATTCACCTCCTCAACTCAACTCACTTTAACTCCCCTTAATTTTAGAGGTTGAATTTCAACCGCTGCATTATAATCCGGCGACTACTATTTGCTGGCCAAAAGTCCAGAAGTAACCAAATTGATTTGAAACTTCGTGTTTGGAGGTTTTTGTGGTCTCTGATTTCGAATATGATGACAGATTTTTTAAATTCAAAATGACGGATCCAATACGGCGACCAAACTTTATAACTTTCTCCTTTTCACCAAAAACTTTTATATAAGGGGGGTTCCGAGGTGGCATTGTCAGATTTTTGTTAATTGAAAACGCGGGTCCAATGTGGGGTTATCGGATTTGGAGCAATAATAATGTGTATGGATTTTTTATTCTGGAGAATTAGTTTAGTGAACGAAGGAAAAAAAATCGATTTATCGATACTTTAAAATATTACTTTTGGCCAGCAAATAGTAGCTGCCAGACCATATTGCGCTGGGCGAAGCCTAGTATTTTAAATCTTTCAAAAAGTACCCTTTCAAAAACTTTTATTATGTTTCACCTGTGTGTAATCCAGTCATGCAATCAATGTTTAACCAATTTTCCGATGAGCTCAGAACCCGATGACTAAACAATACAAAAGATGAATTAATCCGTTAGGTGGCGCAGGTGTCGAGATATTTCAAAAAAATTCAGCCGTTAGTTGGTTCTAGGGTCGATTTTTCTATTTTTTACTTACTACCAATAAAAGGTCTTAAAATAAATTTTGTTTTTAAATTACTTGATTTCATATAACTTGCTTGCTTATTCGCATTACTTATTTGTATAACTTTTCTTCACAGTTCCAATTCAAACATTTCAAATCTGAACCCCCCGATCATGATGACGACATCAAAGAGGAAATAAACGCTTTCGATGAGGATGATGGTGACAATGATGATACGGTCAATGATTGCCTCGATCAGCTCTTATACAATTTGGACCACGATAATATTCACTCAGATAGTGATGCTAGCGCTAATGACGAATTAAATAATGCCCTTTCACCGATGCAGGCAGCGCAGGCCGCACAATTGGCAATGAAACAGCAACAATACCCACATCAACAAACATTTGTACCGCCTTGTAAGAAACGCATGTTCGACTCCAACGAATACAAGCAATTGCATAAACAAATGCTACATGAAAATTTGTATGGCAGTGAGAATTTCATACAAAACGAATTAGCAGCAATGCAAAGTGACAATGATGTTGGAGATGTTGGGGCTGGCGCTACGGGTTGGGGCCTTGGCGATGATGATGATGATGCAGCCATTGTCGAATTGGAACAAAGTTTCGCTCTGAACTATTGGCATAATACAGACGATGAAGTTGAACGTGAAAAGGCTAAAGAGAAAATAAGAGAAAAGGAAATGGCAAAGGAGCAGCAGCGAACACGGGATAAGGTTAAAGGAAGAGAAATGGAAATACTTGACAGCGCCAGCTTTGCTCTACGTCCACGGCAGGTAAGTCAATGCTAGGGTGTTTTAGAATCACGCCGTGTTTCCACTAGCCATTGAAATTACAAAATATGTATGCCATTAAAAAAATTGCATATGGAAACGGGCTTAATGTGGCCCATAGTCATAGTCAAATTAAAGTATACTTTAAGTGACGCCCTAATTACACTGTGGGGACGCTAAAATTACACAAAAAATCGCCGACACAGTAAACTTAATTTTGGGACATTACGGATCTGTATACCGTTTTTCTAGATCAGGAAATATTCCCAAGCTATTTTCATTTTAAGTGTCCATTGTGAATGGAAAAAATGGCTTTAACATAAATGAAAAATTTTACAAAAAAAATTTTAATTTTTTTTAATTTTCCCTGTTAAAGTTTGAATATTTTTTTCAATAAAAAAAATTACAAAAAATTTTTATTTTTTTAATTTTCATTGTTAAAGTTTGAATATTTAACAAAAAAAATTAAAATATCTTGGGAAAATGACCTGCAAAAATACAGATTCGTAATCTACATCTCAAAATTAAGTTCTCGTTTTTCGGCGTTTTTTGTGTAATTTCATGATTTCAGATTTTCCCTACAGTGCGTTGGTACTGTGTAAGTTAAAATCGACTGGAATGAAATGTAAAAGAAATCTAGGTAATTCCATGCAAAAGAGAAAAGCGACATCAATTTTAAAATACCCTAATTATATCTTTTTCAGTAGTAACGTCTTTTTAAATTACTACATTTCATTAATCTTCTGGAAAATGGTAAAAAATCATAATCAAAAAAAGTTATAATTTTTTTTCTTATGGAAACTTTTGTTTCATGCAGTTACTTAACACCAGTCTCAAGGACATATCCCACCAGTCACAAATTTAAATATTTTTTAATATCTCGATGAAGATTATATGAGCCTATTATTTATTACCCATTTTTGTCTCTCCTTTGGCTGTGCTATACAAACTTTTTCGAACAAATTTTTTGAGGATTTTTATTTTTTTTGTTAACACCCGCCCACTTTTGCTAAAGACCAGAAAGAAACTGAATCTGAATCCTAAATGTACCTATGAATAAAATTTGTGACCGGATTGATTTAGAACATATTTTTTCTTAAAATTGTATTTTTTTTTTTTCTGTTACTTTTCCGTTCGTAGCGAATGTAAAAACTACCTTTAATTTCATTATCACATTTCCAGAATTTGGATACTTCCGCTTTCGACAAATTCTATCCGAATGAAACTTCATCGGTATTCTCGCACTTTAGTGGCATAGAAAGTTTCAAAAATCCCCAACTGCCGGTCGGTAAACGCACCTTCGAATGTAGTGTCGCCTGCATCGTTACACCAACAATTGTACAAATCCTGCCACATCTCACCGAATTTGAATATCGTGAATTGGAACTGGAACGACGTATCAAACATCTGGTGAAGTCAGCACCTTACCTCACCGATTTTGAACCACGTACAATTTGCCTCGCCGTTTACCACAAGGATAGAAAGTGGTATCGCGCACTCATACGCTCGCATAATCCAGTCGCAAAGCAAGTGGATGTACTCTATGTCGACTACTTAAATACAGCATCGGTGCTGACCACAAATCTGAGGCAATGCCCGCTCGAATTGATAAGCTGGCCGCTGCGTACCATACGTGCACGTCTACATGGATTGGTGCCAAATCCGCGTTTACGTGAAAAGGACATACGTCAGGCATTGCAAGATGTGTTGCTTAAGCGCACACTGATCGCTCGCATCGTAAAAGATCCCAAATGTTTGGAAAGTAGTGCTGTATTCAATATGAGTGATTTAATGGGCCCAGAAGATATCGATGTGGCTGGTGCAGCAACTGGTTGCGCCGGCGCGCATCAGCAAGATTCCCACGATATTATGGAAGTACATTTATACGGTGGTGATAATAAAAGTCCAAAAAACGCTCGCGTTTATGAAATGCTCATTCAGGAAAGTTTTTACTCTTATAAAAGCACGTAGATCTGAGCTTTCGTCAAACTGACCGTGTTTTCATAACTCACGCAAATATTATAACCCATTCGACATTTTGAAGTGAACTACATAGAACTTGATTATTTCATTCATTCATTCATTCATATGTATACACTCATATAAGCATAGTTTGAATTACACTATTATTTTTATTGGTTTTGTTGCGACTACCGCCTGGAGGTAAATTGCGGAAAATTATTCAACATTCCCTTATAATTCTTTATTTTTTATTTTTACTGGAATTGAGATGTATTGCTTAGGTTTTTTTTACATACAAATTATTAAATAAAGCTTTGAATATTTGACATTGTTTAAAATAGTTTATTTTATTTAAAAGTGGCTGCGTTAGGGCCAAACTTCAATTTTGGAACTATTTAAATTAGAAATCATATGTAATTCCCACTGTGTTGTAATCAATGAATATTTTTCTCTGAAGTTCAAACACATCTTAACTTAACAAGAATTTGTAATGGAAATCCAAAAATTAGCAATGCCAGCCATGATAAAAATATAGTAAGGTAGAACCGCTGAGAGTCACTTTTAAAATTCTTGACGTTTCCAAACAATTTAATTTTTAAATTTACTCACAAACTCACACACACATTTTCATTTTCAATCTCAAGCAACAACAATTTCAAACAATTTCTTTTCTTTATTTTCACTTTTATATGATTTTAAAATGTTGGCAAACTTCAAAAAAAAAATCATGGCCGACAAATTGAGAGAACGGTTCTACCTTGCTATGTTTTTATCATGATGCCAGCTTACAGTTGAGAATGATGTTTTTGGTATTGTTCCTCTGTCTAGGATATCAGCTTGGGGTGCAGTTACGCGTTTATAATGACATATATAAAAGGTCTTTGAATTTCGAATGCATCTTCAGCTTCACTTCAAACTGATATGTATGTAGACAGATAACATTTAAAAAAAAAAGAAGTAATTTCAATTCCACGTTGATATTGCAACCGCGTCTTTATAGTTAGATATGCAGTTTTTTTATACATTCATTTGGATAAGTAGATAATTTTCTTGAGAAACCGATTATTTTCCCCGAACCGGTTCACTTTTCATTTTGTGTTTCCGTGTATTTACTATGGGCGGATGAAAAATTTTCGGGAGAAATTTTTTCAGACGAAACTCAGGATAAGGCTGCTTTTTACTTGAGAAAAGAGGAAAATATCTTGTAGACTTTGTAATTTTGTATGCGGCTTTTTAAGGAACATTTCGGTTTTTTTTTTCCCTGCAGTTAAAGTTGTTATATACAGTCATATGAAAAATATTAGGCACATGACATTTTGATCAATTTTGGCTATTTTTATTTTGTTTGTTTAAAGTTTGTAATTTTTTTTATTAAAAAACTGCTTATTGCCTAACACAAGCCATATAAGTCCAAATTTCAAACCGTGTAGGAAAATTAGAAAAGTTCAACAAAATGTTACCACAACCACAAACTTTTTATTAAGATTTTTTGGAAAATTTTAAAGTATGCAGTTTTATAGGCCATTTGATTCTAGCTCAAGAAAGTGCAAGTTTCAAGTGGATAGGTTGTCGCGTTGATTTTTGATCATTTTTTTATGGGTGGTATTATTTTCTTCCATATAAAAAAAGTGGTCGAACATAAATACTTTGTATGGAGGAAAATCCGCGACACCGTCGGCAAAAAAAAAACAATATCAAAAATCTACGTGAATTCCTAGCCATTCGAAATTGCAATTTATTAAGCTGGAATTTTATGGGCTATAAAACTGCATACATGGCGTATGAGTAGCATTATCTCCTTTTATTTATTATTTGCCAATAAACATTGGGCTTGGTTAGTAATTTGAAAATGATTGGAAAACCAATATTTTGTCCACTGCGTCTAACTATTCCCCCGCAACCAAAAAAGGCGCAGGATAATTCAGAACCGGTCGGTCAATAGCCTTATATTTATGTTGCCAACAACGTATCTTTGCCTTTGCCCCAGGAGCTTGAGAACCCTGTTTCCGCTGTGTATTTTATTGACAATTGAATCGGAGAGTTCCCACAACCGTACAAGTCCAAAATCATTTTTTGTTGAGTTGTCGAACTCATCAATTCAATAGCGGAGCGGAGAAGGAGAGTAGACAATCTAAAGGTAACTCCCAGGATTTTCGTTTATCCCCCCTCGGATTTGGTGTACTATCGACGTGAATGCCTAGTTGAAGCCTCCTTCACCAAATGGATGGAGAGGGTCGCCGTATATTTCGTCGGAGAGAGGTTTAGGCTCTGTGCATTGAAGAAGTGATAAAGTTCAGAGAGATAGCCTCATTAATGAACTCTTCGCCGTCATATTTAAATAGCTCAGCTCTGTAACCATCGATGATAAAATGACAATTCTGCAAAATCCATTAGGTTCCTTGACAGTGCTAACGTAAAAAACGAGAAATAGTCACATTGAACGTTAGTTTCTAAGGACTCACTGAGCGGAGGAGTAAGAATCAAGCTCCCATGTTGGTGTCTCACTCTTACGATTTCAGCTTGCGGCCATCGGGAAGGCGAAAGCCCGACGGAATAACCAAGCGGATGCAGAAAAAATTGGGTCCGGCGGGAGTAGCATATCTTACCAAGGCCCTCAACCTGTGCTGGTTTCCCTTGTAACTCCAGATATATGGAAATCGCTGAGTGAGGTCTTACTACTAAAGCCGGGAAAACCAGCCAAAAGTGGTAAGTCTTATCGGCCGATAACTTCTTTCCCCAGTAGTGAAGACGCTTAAGGCCCCGCTGCTTCCGTACTTCCGTATTCAAATTTTAATATTTTAAATATAATTTAGACTATAACAAAGATAGAGCGCGGTTTATTGTGAAATTTTGTATCATTAAAACCTCGAAAATGATACGAAAGAAAATTACGTGATACGTCAGGCAGTATAGGCTTAATGGGACAAAGAGTACGGTCACGTATATCATAATCCGAAAAATGCTACGCTATCGTATGTGACGATTCGAGCCCTAATTTTTTTTTAGTCTATTAGGCTTGGCGAAGGCATACAACTTTTTTGCTGTATGAATTACGGAACGATGAAACAGTGTTTTTAAACAAGTGAAAAATGCAGCAAAACACTCGCATGGCGAAAAGTTGCTTGTCAGCGCCTGGTTTTACTACAGTCCTGACGTTCCCACGGCAGTCGGGTCTACGTAAATGCAACGACCCAGATTTATATCTGGCCAAGGACTGTGTGAGGACTAAATGTCCCCAGAGAATTTAGCCCACACAAACTCCCGCACCACCAACCAAACCAGCCACACCACAGCAACACAAGTCAGCGCAACTGGCCACGCAGCAAATCACACACAACACAAGTCATAGCAACACACGACAACCTCTTCGTTGCCACGACAACGCAACATCACACAGCAACATGTAGCTGCGCGACCACGCAACATCAAGCACATAGCCTATTAATGGAGTAGCACGACAAGAAACCAGTCAGTCAGCACGAGACTTCTTCTCGGCTCGAGCGTCGGGCTGGACGTCACCTTCCCAGTGGCAGCGCCACAAGCTACACACGGTCTCACCACAGCTTCTCGTGGAACCGCGTACGGGCGACACCCGCTCGCCCGCAGTCAGCACCGCCATTAGCAGAGGGACGTAGACAACGCCTACAAGAGCGCTTCTCACCGCCGTCAGCAGAGCGGCGTCAACAGCGCCACTAGAGCGACTCTCCGGCGCGAACAGAGCGCCACTTGTCAATGTCGCCAGAGCGCCGCCCAGCGGCGCGAGTAGGAAGGTACTCTCCGGAGTCATTAGCGCGAACAGAACGCCACTTGTCAACGCGCCAGAGCGCCGCCCAGCGGCGCGAGTAGAACGTTGCTCCCGGCATCACCAAAGTACCACTCATCGGTGCGGCTCACCTGCATTGCTGAGAGCGCTACATCTCGACGCAACTAGAACGCTCCTCTCAGTCGTCACCGGAGCACTATACATCGGCGTGACCAGAGCGCTACTCTCCGCATTACAAGAACGCCACATACCGGCGTCATCAGAGCGCCACTCACCGACGGTGTTAGAGTGCCACTCACCGGCACGACCAGAGCGCAACCCACCTTGCAAGAGCTCTACATACCGACGCGGCCAGAGCACCACTTATAGACGTTAGCAGCGCGCCACTCAGCGCCGTCAGCAGAGCGCTGCCCACCAGTACTAAAGCCACGCCACTACAGCCTAACGGGCTCATAACGGGACAAGGAGCCGTTACCCAGCCACGGCAAGTGACGCTACCGAATGTTTCAAATTGTTATTTGTTATATGTTCTTTTTATAGAAATAAGGAAAATTAAATAATAAAGTACGATTTACCAGGCCCCGAAACTACGAATTTATTGTAATGAACCCGGGACGCGGCGAGTATACCCCAGCATTTTAGAAGCATCGGGGCTAGCAAAAACGCTTCGTTACAACTGTCACTCCAGCTCATTCCCTTAAACACTCTTTGGGGAATTTGTATGCTGTTACAACAACGACTATTGTATTGTAGTCCATACGCATATTAAACAGGTAATAGCAGTAGAGCAAACACAACCCTGTCATGTATTTGTTGTTGCTTGAAAAACCTAGTATGTCAAAACAGAAAGAAATGTAAACACGTTCGACCAATCAAAAAGCAAGCAAAAAGAATGCTAATGGATGTGTATATGAATGTATATTTGAGTGTAGCAAAGTTGGACAGTTCAGACTTTTAACGAAATAGAAAAAAATCTAAAGTGCAGTCTTGCTATTTCTCTGTGCCTTGGCATTGTCGAAGCCATATTATGTTTTGAAGCTATTCTATCAACGAGAGTTTGGGAGAATATATACAAACGTAACAAAAACGCGCGTAACAGGTTTTCCGACATTCTCCCGAGCATAAGCCTTTTGCCCGAGTGCTCAGAAATATCGACTTTTTTATTTTTAAATAAATAAGACGTTGACATTATTATTAATAAAATAATTTGCATTTTATTTTACTTGATAATTTTTGTTTTCCTTTACATAATCACTTCCTTTACATGCTCACGTATTAGCGATATAAATACATATATATTTAGTTAATTGGCTTATTTACAACTTAGTAAACAAATCTGCAATGCAATGTTATGCAATGTGCTATCTAAACAAATTGACCTTTTTAAATTATTTCCCAATTGCAATTGCATAAGTTGTTGTATTTATTTTTAAGTGGCTTTTATTGCTTCGAGACTAGTCCACGTACATAGTAAATATGCATATAGATATCTACATAAGTAAATGGTAGTAGCAGTAGAATGATAGTTAACATTTTTCGAAAACTTATGAAATTTTAAAAACACTACATATACAT